CTGACTTATCTACCCTGATATTTTCAGCTATGCTACCTTCTGTTGCAATTATATTCAGTTTCTTCTTTTAATCATTTCCCATGTTTCAGATATTTTTGTTACAGTCCCATGATTTTGCTGTCTACTACTGTCATATATCAAGACTCTTTACAATGCAACTGAAAATCTTCTGTAAATTTATGCTATAGTAGTTAAAACTGACATGGCAACTTCAGATGATCACTAGAGGGCAGCAAGTATATTTGGAAAACTTCCTTAGTTGCTCCCCCTAGCGGTCATCAGGTATCATTAATAAGTATATAAGTGTTTGCTCGGTTTTCTATTCCATAAGTCCTCTTTATTTTTTTTAAAAAAGCATGGATTCTTGCCCAAATATGGACTTCATGCATGTGGTTGAATGCCATATAAATGCACACATATACCTCATCTTTTATGTTCTTACCCTACTTATGACCCAGCTTCCCCCATAATAACTCAGAGCTGTTAGGTAACCCTAACAACTCCCTGTAAAGCAGGTCAAGCTGAGAAAGATTAACTTAGTTAAGACTATCTGCATATTGCTTGTAGATATTGCTTGTAGATAAGAGCTGTGGTGGCACAGTGGTTAGAATGCAGTACTGCAGGCTACTTCTGCTGACTGCCGGCTGCCAGCAGTTCGGCAGTTGGAGTCTCACCAGCTAAAGATTGACTCAGCCTTCCATCCTTCCAAGGTCAGTAAAATGAGGAGCCAGATTGTTGGGGCAATATGCTGACTCTGTAAAACCGCTTAGAGAGGGCTATAAAGCACTGTGAAGCAGTATATAAATCTAAGTGCTATTGCTATTTTCCATGTCTAAAATCATTGGCCATTAACCAGTTATTTAACTACCTTACTACCTAAATTGTCTACAGCAATTTCCTTGCTTGCAGCGTAGCCTTTGGGTGAATACAGGCAGTCCTTGACTTATGACCACAATTGAGCCCAAAATGTATGCTACTAAGTGAGACATTTGTAAAGTGTTTTATGACTTTTCACATCACAGAGAATCATTGCAGTTGTTAAGTTAGTAATACAATTGTTAAGTGAATCTGGCTTCCCCATTGACTTTGCTTGTCAGAAGGTTGCAAAAGGTGATCACATGACCCTGGGACACTGCAACCGTCATAAATATGAAACAATTCCCTAGCATCTTAATTTTGATTCCGTGACCATGGGAACGCTGCAATGATCGTAAGTGTGAAAAATCAGTTTTTTCATTGCCGTTGTAACTTTGAACAGTCACTAAACTAATTGTTTTAAGTTGAGGACTACCTGTACAGCCTACATGGCAAGCAAACAATGTACAAACGATCTTAGAAGCCTAATGCGGCTAGACGCAGTCCTTCATCCAAAGATATGAGGAGAAGCATTTTCAAATTTATGTAGAATAGAAAGTGCATGATTGTGGTCTTTTGACAGTGAATCTGGGAATAGCTCCTATGTTTTTCTTCTGATTATTCTTGATCTTGAAATGTGAGTGTGGGTTTGCTGAATGATTTCTATCCAATCCATTTAACACAATAGATTTTGGAGTGTCTGCAAAATGTGGTGAAAACAGTCAAGATGGCCACTGGTACAATTTATTTTTCACATTTTTTAATTACTCATCTCCCTCAGAGGGAAACTCAATCATCAATCATCAATCAATCAATCAATCAATCAATCAAAGCTCAGTCTATTTTTATGTAACATTGCTCTGCAGATATCCCTAATGAGATGGAGAGAGGGAGTTTAAACATATATGAAGAACCTCAAGGCTCCAGTCTCTTTTGGTGTCATAAAGCAGGGGTCTCCAACCTTGGCAACTTTACGACTTGTGGACTTCAACTCCTAGCAAAGCTGGCTGAGGAATTCTGGGAGTTGAAGACCACAAGTCTTAAAGTTACCAAGATTGGAGACCCCTGTCATAAAGGAATCTCCTGATTTTCTCTTGTGGCTGGCCAACCAAAAGTGCATCCCCCTGAGTCAATGGGTAACTGTCTTAGGGTAGTGATGGTGAATAAACATCCAACAGCATCTCTTTCCTGTCTTTCCTACTTCATGCTTGTTCTGGCATGGTCCAAGCCATCCCTTCAGGGCAAAGCCATGATCATCCTCTAAACAGCCTTTTCTTCCAGATTCTAGGAGGTGAAAATTGGTTTAGGGTTGTCTTATCTACAATATTATGCCTGTTTTGTAGGTAAGGTTGGCTGAGAGCTATGACTTGGTTGGAAGTAAAAAATTGATGTTAAAACTATGTTTAATTAATGTATATATCACTCAGGAACTCAAGTTGGGATACATAATGTATGTTTCATTTGTGCTAACTCATAATAAACAGAACAGAATAGAACAACAGCGTTAGAACAGGTCTTCTAGTCCAACCCCCTGCTCAGGCAGGAAAACCTATAATATTTCAGACAAATGGTTGTCCAATCTCTTCTTAAAAACTTCCAGTGTTGGAGCATTCACAACATCTGGAGGCAAGTTGTTTCACTGATTAATTGTTCTGACAGGAAATTTCTTTTTAGTTCTAGATTGCTTCTCTCTTTGTTTCCATCCATTGCTTCTTGTCCTGCCCTCAGGTGCTTTGGAGAATAGCTTGACTCCCTCTTCTAATAGCCACTTCTAATAATCACTCCTATTTTTTTTTCTCCAACAAGAACCTAATGTGAGGTTGTTTGGATTGAGAAGGACTGTCTCTAAGTCATCCAATGACCTTTCATGTAACGGTAGACTGGAACTTAGGTTCCCCTGTTCCTTGTCCAACACTTTAACCACCACACAATGCTGGTTCAAATTTGAACTCAAGACTCACGGAAACTTATAACCTAGAGCACACTTCATATTCATGCCATGAAGTGCACACCACCAAAGGCACACGTAGGGTTACAACTGATAGGCATAGACTTAAAATAAAATATTAACCAGCTTTTAAAATATCTTCAGAGGGCTTTTTGGACAGTTTTCACAGCAGTAATCATTCAAACTTTTATATATTGTGATCTTGTAAATTATCTGTTTCTTTCTCTCTCTCATCTGTCAACAGTCTAGATTTCCACTGTTTATTTCCTGATTCCAGCGATCAGATTCCATCCAGCCCCTTTAAATTTATGATCACTTAATGTGTAGATTGCAGGACTCATCATTTGTTTCTATGAAATTCTGAAAAAGCTTGTTGTCAATTTTATTTTATTGGCAGCATAGGTTCTTGAAAATAAAGGTTTGTTGGAAAAATACTTCAATTAAAAAAACTAATCTTCTTGACACTGAAACAAATAATTTCTTGTAGGCCCGAGTAAATTATTTTGCAATTATTTGCTGTAAAGTTTGTTACCAGGATATTGAGAAAGTTAAACCGTTATTATGTTCTCCTCCCTGCCCCCTTCACTTTTTCAATTATGTCCTCCTTTACCTGTTCAACATCTGGCAATTCTAAGCACAAGGAACCCTCCAGATGGTCCTTTGATCTTTGATCCTGTCACACAAGGAATATTGTGAAATGCTACCCTCAAGATCACTCAGAAGCTTCCAGAATAGAAAAGGATGGGCCCTGGTAGGCATAGTACATTATGTTCATATCCTCCCACTCCTCTGCAAACTACATTGATTGCCAGTTGGCTTTTGTGTGCAATTCAAGATGCTGGTTAACAACCAAAAAGTTGTTTGTGTCATTGGGTCTAGTCATCTGAGAGAAAGCCTATCTCCAATAGTTTCTGCTTGTCTTACATAATTTCTGCTCCCAGTCCTATTAATTTGTCAGGAGCCAGGAAATAGGCCTTTTCTGTTGAAGTGACTGCCCTCTGGAACAACATCTCCATAGAGAGTCTCTAGGGCAGGGGTCTCCAACCTTGACAACTTTAAGACTTGTGGACTTGAACTCCCAGAATTCCTCAGCCAGCTAAGCAAAGTCCACAAGTCTTAAAGTCGCCAAGGTCGAAGATCCCTGCTCTAGGGTTCCCACCATACCCAAGTCCTTGGGAACACAGATGATCCTTCAGACTATGTCTTAGAATGGGTCCTTATCTGTTGGAGATCTTGTTCTTTTTAAAATGTTTCTGATTTTTTTTTTGCTATTGTTTTTTTGCTATTTTTATTGTGTGCTACCACAGCGTGATGAAATTGGATTGCTTTCTAAATTCAACAAGCCAATAAAAAAAGGGTGACTTGGTGACTTGGGCAACATGGTAAACCTCAAAGCAGAATTAACACAAACATCTTCCCATCATATCCTTCTGTTGCATGATCTGAGTAGGTCATTCAATATGAAGAGCTGCCATGTTTTTGTGAGTGCCCAGGCAAGCCATGAACTCTCAGCAAAAAGCCCTACTGAGCAGGGAAGCTATTGCTTAATGCATTGTAAGCCGCCCTGAGTTTCCGGAGAAGGCAGCATATAAATCGAACTAAAAATAAATAAAATAAAATAAAATAAAATAATAAAATAAAATAAAATAAAATAAAATAAATAAAATAATAATAAAATAAAATAAAATAATAAAATAAAAATAAAATAATAAAAAATAATAAAATAAAATAATAAAATAAAATAAAATAATAAAATAATAAAATAAAATTATTATTATTATTATTATTATTATTATTATTATTATTAATAATAATAATAATAATAATAATAATAATAATAATAATAATAATAATAATAATAATAATAATAATAATAAGTGCTCCAGGTTTCAAGATTTACAGCGTTGCGTTCCAACGTGTCGGGGTTTCGACAAACTGCCCGGAAAACAAGATCCAAAATCTTATCCAAAGTATTACCTTTTTTATAAGATCGGAGGTGGGGTGCGGGTGGGGGGGCGCTACCAACCCAGCTCTCCGATATCCTGCAGCGCTGACCTTCCCCAGGCGGGGGAGCGCACCACGCATAAGCCGGAACGTTTCGACGCAACCATCGCGGGAAGAGAAGGTGCCTCTCTCCGTCCCCAAACTGGGAAATGGAACAATCCATCAGGGCCCCGCCCACTCCCCACCGAACCCGGAAGTGGCGCCCGCAGGCGGGAGCGGCGTGCAGGAGCGGTTTCTTGGTGCTCAATGGGGGCGTTGAGTGGGGCTGGCGCGATGGGAGCGGCTGTGGCGGCCTTTTACGTGACAGCTGCCCCCCCCTCGGCGCTCGGGGGAGATTCTGGTAAAGTATCAAGATCCGGCCTCATGTCCTGCCTGGTTTTTTTTTTTTTTGCCCCCCGCGGAAATCCCCCGCCCCTAAGTTGTACTGCATGCTTTTTGCATATTCTAATTTATGGTAATAATTCAACCCATTGGTCGGAAACCCAAATCGGCTTTTGTTGTGCATCTGTCCTAGCAATGAGATGCCTTGGGAATTTATTTTATTTTATTTTATTTTTTTTAAAAAAACCACAGCATTCGACATGTTAATAAAAATAAGCATATGGATGACTTTTGGGGCAGAATTTTAATCGTTTGGGGTACAGGGTGGATCCCATGTTGTGGATTGGGGGACAACCTGAAAATTCACTTCTCCTGTCTGTCGGATAATAATTTGCACGTCAAGCTTTTTTTTTTTTAGGACGGTCAAATGAAAATGTGGTCCTGCATGCATCTGATAACTGTCCAGATTTAATTGCTTTGGGCAGATAACTTGGAGTTATAGGAGTAAAGTGGAAGGGGGGGGAGGAGGAAAGTATATTGAAAATTTTAAATTTCAGCATGTCAGATTTGTGAACTTCCTATAGTTGTAGGCAGTGGTGGGATTCAACCAGTTTGCACCACTTTGGGAGAACTGGTTAACTTCCTGAGCAGTTTGGCAAACTGGTTTTTGGAAGAAATCATTAGGGCAGAGAACCGGTTGTTAAATTACTTGAATCCCACCACTGGTTGTAGGTGGCATCCATCATTAGATTTATATTTGTGCCACCTAATGTTTCTGGGACACTATAATAAAATACCAGAAAAGACTCTACTTTGTTTATTTATTGGATGCAGACTTCATGGATGTGATACAAAAGGAAATTCTTTTCTTTTTCCTCTTAATCTATGCACAGGGTGCTGTATTTTCTCTGATGGAGACACAGATGTTTAAACTCACAGAGCAAAAATATGATCCGGCTATTTACCCCCTACACACAAAATGTAATGCACATACCGTCATCTGAAATGCACCCAAAACAATTTTTCTTATTGGGGAGTATGCAAAAATGTTGATTGATATTTGCAGTTCAACCATTCTGTGACATCTATGGACTATCTTAATGAATAATAATAATACTCGCATGGCAAGATTATAGTGGAAAAACCTTCCAGTGTGAGCCAATCTAATGCAAATAAGATGAAGCAGTGGTGGTATTATTAAATAGTTGTGTGTGATTATTAGAATGATGCTTGACTGGCATACTTCTGAAAATGCTCTGGGTGAGAGAGTGCAATTTGCTTATAATATGATAGTGATTTCCCCACAATAGTTGAGAGATTAAGGTGTTTCTCTAGGATTGGAGAGACATGGGTTCAAGTCTGTTCTTAGTTGTAGAAGTTGTCTCCTTGATTTTAGGCTGTTTGTTTTGTCTTATCCTTACTGACCCTAACCCTAGCCACAAAACTTTGGGGCGGGGAGGAGAGGAGGAAGGAATGTTACATATGGCATGTTGAGAGCCATATTGAAAAAGGTTAGGATATAATTCAAGGAAGAGGGAGGGAGGGAAGGAAGGAAGGAAGGAAGGAAGGCTCTTCTCATAGAGTTTGATTTCTGTCTACGCCATTCACCATTGTCCTTTTCTTGTTGTCTTTTCAAAGAGCTGGGATACAGTTTAAGCCACCATGAAGGATGAGAACATCCATAGAGCTTTGTTATAGCAGGCTAGACTTCCAATCAAGGAAGCTAACTCAGACAAAATGATTAAAAAGCAGCAGAATAACATCAAGCAAAATTAAAAATCAATTCATCTATTGTTCAGAAATATAAAAATAGATTTAAAAGTATTCTTTTAAATACTTTAAAAGAAAAGCAATGCAAAAATTGGAAACTCCAGCAAAGTTCTAAGTAGCAGCAGTGATTTAAAAGGTGGTTTTTTTTTTTTTAAAAAAATAGCATATTCAGGATTAATGACATTTTCCAGAATCATGGGAGTAGATATTAAGTGGTGCAGCAGTTGGAATTAATTCTTTCTTTCACATAGCATCCTCCAGATATGCTCCAGAATCTTTCCCTAATTTTCTGGTATGCTTTTGGAGGGTGTACAAGCTGCTATAGAGGGAGAGAAAGCCCTTTTCCATTAGCAACATCTGTTTTGTTCATGGCTACGGACATGTGGACTGTTAAATATAATCTTATGAGTAAATCTGTATCGAACATGAAAAGGAATATGACTCAGGAAATGCTCTGTGGAGCTTTGACAGTTTTAAGCTAGGGACAGGCAAGCTGCTACGCTCTAGATATTTTGGACACAAATCCCATAATCTCTAACCAGCGTGACCAATGGTCGGGGGGAATAGATATGTGTCCTCCAGATCTTTTTGTTTATATGCCCTATATACCTCCATGTATTTGAAGGTATCCTCTCTTTGAAAAGCTGTCCGATCAAGACCCATAAAAAAGAGCTGGAATCTTGGTCTCTTAATTTGCAATCAGGATGTGCAGCAAAACATAAAGGTTACTTATAAGTAGGCTATCTTTCTTGTTACAGCATTGATGATGATGATGATGGTAATAATAATAATAATAATAACGATATTATTATTTACCAAGGCACAATATAAAATAAGCAACCTGTCCCCAAATAAATGACAAATTGCTCCAATAAAATTTGCTTAGAACTCGGTAAGCAAATATTACTGTTCTAGCAGTATACTTAAAACAGTTGCCTGGGATAAGACTAAGTGTTCTACATACATAATTGTTTAAAATGGGTGTTAATCTGGACCTGGCAGTGAAATAAGAGTAGGTTAGAACAACCAGGACCTACATGAACCTGCTAATCAAATAAAAAAGGCCTTTAGCCCTCTATTAAAGGCCGTCAGATTTCCCCAAAGAGACAGGGAGTCGATCCCAGTTTTATGGGGCCAGATCCCTCAAGAAATTTAAGATGTGCCCGCATCTTTTTGGGTGAATGTGGGGGGAAAATTCAATAAAACTTGATTCAAAAGAAAATTTAAGATGTGCACTTGTACATATGAATCAATGTGCAAATTTTATGTAAATTGAAATCCTCTTTTCTGCCCCTCTTTCCTTTTACTTAACAGTGTAGAAATAGCACTGTCTTTTGAGTCTTCCTCTGAGCCAGTGAAGTAGATTATGATGTTTTGGCCATGTGTGAGGCGTTAATGATCGATTGTACCAATCCTGCATAGCAGTAAAGACCAAAATAATTCTAATAGAGAAAACTCCTGAAGAACCGTGTTGACAGGTTCCTTCAACAACACTACAGATCTGTCTAGAAAAGGGGAAGAAGGGCTCGGAGAGAGTGTAGTTGCTGTCTAGTTTATATTTTTCCCCCCATAACTGAAATATTAACAACATGGAAAATTTTTTGATGTGTCGTGGGACATTAGACACTAGATGAATTATCAGGCTGGTTGTGCAAGGACATTGGCATTTAAGCCTGTCAACCTGATTCCAAGAAATAATATTTCTTGGATATTGGGGGGGGGGGGGGATTAATGAATTTTTAAATTGTTTTGAATTGGGATTTTAATTTTATATTGGCAGGAATTATGCATTTTACCATTGTGAGCCGCCCTGAGTCCTCGGAGATAGGGCGGCATACAAATTGCATAAAATAAATAAATAAATAAATATAAAGGGGTCAGGACAATGGTGGAAAAACTGACTGACTCCAGCCAGTGACTGGAGAGATCTAATAAAACTGGTTTATTAAGCTAGCATAGGAATACAGTGATCAGTCAAGGCAGGAGTCCTGATGTCAGAGAGCATTGGCTCTATGTAGGTTTCATCACATTAGATCATATTTTAAAGGTATTGTAAAGTAATTGAATACTTGTTTTGCAATTATCAAGATGGCGTTATCTTTGAAAGGTGAGGCTCCTTGTTTAGAGAAGAGGAATCACAACATATAGGCAAAAACATATCAAGTTAAATTGATCTTTTATGCTGTGAGTCTCCATGTTCTATAAACATGGGAAACTCTGAACCAGATTATCACCTTTATCCTTGAGTAAATCAGCACAAGTGGAAGACATTTGACACACATCTCAAAGCCTCCGTTAGATCCAGAGAGGATAATACGTAGCAAAGAATTGGGGTTTTGCTAGTATCATAAAGATGCCAGTTTAACCTTGCTTATATATGAAGTGAGAAGGCTGCATAGCACAGCAAACGGTTTTATACAAGATGGCCCAACTGCTACAGCCTTCTAAATTCTTACAAAATTGTAAGAATTGGCTTAGGGCCAGGGTATTTACGAGACCGCCTTCTGCAATCAATAACCTCCCACCGGCCAATACGCTCTCACAGAGAGGGCCTCCTCAGGGTGCCGTCGGTCAAGCAATGTCAGCTGGCAGCCCCCAGAGGGAGAGCCTTCTCTGTGGGGGCACCCGCCCTCTGGAATGAGCTCCCTCCCGGAATACGACTGATCCCGGACCTCTGTACTTTCCGTAAGGCCCTGAAGACTTTTTTATTCCACCAAGCCGGCCTAGCCTAAAAGGTTTTATGGGTTAGTTTTTTAAATTGTATAGATGTGGGGTTTTAAATTGGGAGGCCGATCGGTTTAATTTATTTTAGTTATTTTTAACTTTTATATTATATGTATTTTAATTTCGGCTGTTCACCGCCCTGAGTACTTCGGGAGAAGGGCGGTATACAAATTTAAATAAATAAATAAATAAATAAATAAAATTATTGTAGGGGGCTGGACTAGAAGACCTCCAAAGACCTCCCTTCCGACACTATTCTTCTGTGTTCTACATGCTATTACTTCTAATGCTACCACAGGACTTGCCTGCATTAGCACTTTCTTCCTGCTCATATTTTATCTGTGACTGAATATTTTATCTGTTATGAATTTCTGACGTTCTTCGATAGATAATTCTTATCAGAAGTTCTTGGATTTTATGTTAGCTTGCCTGAATAGTTTATAAATAGTTAATGTAGCTGCCCTAAACGGTTGCCTGTAGGTTGAAACCTGATCACTAATCTCTCAAATATTTTTCTATACAGGA